CCTTTGTGAAACTCTAGCACCTATGATTCCATAGCTTTTAGACATGGCAATTAAACTGGTGTTAAACCATACTAATTCTATAGTGTAGATGCAGCATTAAAGGACAGTCAGTCAGCAAGTCGGGCAAGGCATTTTATTTCCTCTCTCAAATAAGAGAACAGCAACTAGAAACATCAGACTCACTGAGAAATAACTAAACCCAGTGCCACCTAGTGACTAAACTGCACAATGATACACAATAAGTTTAAATATGCATTATAGGCAGTCCCCTAGTTACAAACATCCCACTTACAAATTTCTCATAGTTAAGAATGGAGTGAGACAACAGAAAGTGAGAGAAATCTACTCCTAGGAGGGGAAATTCACTCCCAAGAGTTATCCTGGGGAAAATATATCTCAACTGGAGCTTCCTCACCAGTCCTTGTTTCTACAAGCCACATTTTTAAAAATCCCATTACCACAGAAACAGAAAGTGAGGTGAAATCTTTTTAACAGGAGCAAAGACAGTAAGGTTCAATATTGTCTCCCATGTTGTTCAACATCTACATGAAGCCGCTGGGGGAGATCATCCGGAGTTTCGGGGTACGGTGTCATCTGTACGCGGATGATGTTCAACTCTGTCACTCCTTTCCACCTGCCACTAAGGAGGCTGTCCAGGTCCTGAACCGGTGCTTGGCCGCTGTGACGGTCTGGATGAGGGCAAACAAATTGAAATTGAATCCAGACAAGACAGAAGTACTCCTGGTCAGTCGCAAGGCTGAACAGGGCATAGGGTTACAGCCTGTGTTGGATGGGGTCGCACTCCCCTGAAGATGCAGGTTCGCAGCTTGGGTGTGACCCTGGACTCATCGCTGAGCCTGGAACCCCAGGTTTCGGCGGTGACCAGGGGAGCATTTGCACAGCTAAAGCTTGTGCGCCAGCTGCGCCGTACCTTGGGAAGTCTGACTTGGCCACGGTAGTCCACGCTCTGGTTACATCCCGTTTAGACTACTGCAACGCTCTCTACGTGGGGTTGCCTTTGAAGACAGCTCGGAAGCTCCAACTAGTCCAACGCTCGGCAGCCATGATTTTAACAGGCGCGGAGCGCAGGGAGCATACAACCCCCCTGTTGCGCCAACTCCACTGGCTACCGATCTGCTACCGGGCTGAATTCAAAGTGCTGGCGTTGGCCTTTAAAGCCCTAAACGGTTCCGGCCCAAGCTACCTATCCGACCGCATCTCTGCCTATGAACCCACCAGGACTTTGAGATCTTCCGGGGAGGCCCTGCTCTCGATCCCGCCTGCTTCTCAAGCACAGCTGGCGGGGACGAGAGATAGGGCCTTCTCGGTGGTGGCTCCTCGGCTGTGGAACGCCCTTCCTACGGACATTAGACTAGCACCATCTCTAATGGTATTCCGCAAAAAAGTGAAGACCTGGCTGTTTGAGCAGGCGTTCGAATAATTAGTGCAATGATTGGTTAATGAACACTGGAATGGAACAATGGATGACAAATCTGGAACATGTTTTTGATGACGAGACGACAGTGAATGGGTATTGTAGTAACTGTTTATTAATTGTGTAATGTGTTAGGTTGTTAACTGTTTTATACTGTAGCACTGAATTTTTGCTGTTCGTATTTGTTGTGAACCGCTGTGAGTCGCCTTCGGGCTGAGAACAGCGGTATATAAGTAAGGTAAATAAATAATAAATAAATAAAACAAAGACCACAGGGGTGCTAACCCTTCCCTATGCTCTCCAAAGCTTAAAAATGTATGTGTTTGGCTTGTTTCACTTTAAAAAGTACCTCTTCCGACTTACATGCAAATACAACTTAAGGACAAACCTACAAAACCTATCCTGTGCATAACTTGGGAACTGCATTTACAGGTTGAACATACCTTATCTGAAATGCTTGGGTACAAAAACGTTTTGGATTTTGAATTTATTTAGATTTTGAAATTCCTGTATTTGCATATGTGTATATGATTAGATACCTTTTGTTTCATATACACCCTGATACACATAGTCTGAAGCTAATTTTATATTTTTAAATAATTTTGTTCATGAAACAAATTTTGTCTACACTAAACAAAGATTTCAGATTTCAGAATGCTGGATAAAGGATGCTTTATTTATATATCTATGCACTGGACTCAGCTGAAGTCTGGTGCACACACATATAATTATATATAATACATTCCTTATTATAATGAGTTTCTAGTTAAAGATCACTGAAACTAACATTTTCAACTTTCTATTTGAAAGTATAAAACAAAACTCAAATATGAGTCAGCTATAATGAAATGGGTTTTAAATATTTTTATTTTAAATGTATTTTAGCAGATTTTTTGTATTTTATGATGTTTTTAGTTGTTATTTTGTCTATTAAGTTTATTAGGTTGTGTTATATTGTCAAATGCGTTTATTTTGATGTAATTGTCTGTATGGTTTCTTTCATCATCATCATCATCATCATCATCATCATCATCATCATCATCATCATTTAATAACTTATTAATCGCCCTCCATCCGAGAATGCTCTAGGCGATTTACAGCTAAATTATAAAAGATAAAATACATGCATACAAAAATTAAAAATTAACAGAGATCGAATGCTCTAGTAAAAAGCCAGGTCTTAAGTGCGAGAGTAAAAGGCCCTAAGTCACGCATGGCTCTCATGTAGGGCGCAAGGAATTCCACAAGGCAGGGGCAGAAATAGAAAAAGCCCTGCGTCTGGTCCTTTCCAAGTGCACTTCTCTAGGACCCGGTATATGGAGTAAGTCACGTTGGGCTGGTCGTTGCGACCTCCGATGATGGGAGAAGGAGAGGCGGTCCCTAAGGTACGATGGACCCTGGCCGTAAAGAGTTTTAAAGGTCAGAACTAGCATCTTATACAGGCCACGGTACTCAGTTGGAAGCCAATGTAATGTTGCAGCACTGGTGTTATATGGCATTTCATGGGCGTTCTTGTGAGTAACCTGGCTGCCGCATTCTGAACAATACGAAGCTTTCGGGTCGTAGACATCGGAAGGCCCACATACAGGGCGTTGCAATAGTCCAGCCTAGACGTGACCGTGGCATGGATGACAGTGCCAGAGCCTCGTCAGATAGGTAGGGTGCCAGTGGCCTCGCTTGTCGTAGATGGAAAAAGGCCTGTTTGCTGGCAGCAGCGACCTGAGCTTCCATTGTCAGCTGTGAATCCAGGATGACACCTAAGCTCTTAACAGTGGTCGATGGAGATAGGGCGGCACCATCGAAGGTGGGTAATGGAGGAGTCAGGCCTGCCGGGCGGCCATGCCAGAGAATCTCAGTCTTCGCTGGGTTCACCTTCGGCAATTGCATGTTTGCCTTACACGACGGAACTCCTCCGAGTCTCTTTGGAGAGATAGAAAGGCACACAAATAACATTTATTATTATTATTATTATTATTATTATTATTATTATTTAAAAAGTGAAGTCCTCACAAAATTTTAAAAATAACTTGTATGATAAGATTCATTGTTGTCTCAAATTGTAATCATATTAATTCAAATATGTTAAAATAAGCAATTGCTGTGATAAAAAACAATGCTTCCAAAGAAGAAAAATGTAGTAGTGGAAAGAAAAAAAGGAAAATACAGGCCACAGGTTATTTATGGGCCCTGCTTTCCCTTTTGTAATGTGTGAACATGAGGGCTCTCACATTTTAGACAGGGTGCATTCAGCAGACAGATGCAAATAGTGATACATTTTACCAATCTGTGTAATTTCCTCGATACCATTAATAATTTTAGCCAGAGTATGACATATTTACACAACACTCTATAATGTTCAGAGCACACACATTATTGCTATCACATGGTGTATAGCACTGTCTACACGGGGTAGGCCAATTTTTATTATTCTATGCCTTTAGGTCTCTCCTAATTTCTGGTGAGCCCTTATTGTTGTTGCTAACTGTCACCAAATGGACTTCTATGTATAGTGACTATGAATGAGAGACTGCCAAGTCATTCTATCATCAATTGACCTGCTCTAGTCTTGCAGACTCAGCCTTGTGGACTATACCTTTGGGTTTTCTTGGTAAGATTAATTCAGAGCAGGCTAAGAAATTGTGATTTGCCCAAGGTTATACAATGGGAATCCATATCTGACTAAAAATTTGAACCTTCATCATCCTGGTTTAAACCACTTTACCACACTGGCTCTTAATGTAGATGTAGAGGAGACAAAGGCAGGACTGGGACATACTTGTGTAAGAATACCTAATGAATTTTAGGGTGCATCTGGGATCATAGAATCATAGCATTGGAAAAGACCACATGGGCCATACAGTCCAATCCCCTGCCAGGCAGTGAAAGCAACAGATGGCCACCCAGTCTCTATTTAAAAGCCTCCAAGGAAGGAGCTTCCAAAATACCAAGAGGCAGAGAGCTTCACTGTTGAACAGCACTCACAGTCAGGAATTATTCCTGATGTTCAAGTGGAATCTCCTTTTCTATAATCGACACTGTCAAATTAATGCAGTTTGATCCATTTTGATTGCTATGGCCCAGTGTTGTGGATTTATGGGAGTTGTAGATTTTGCTTTCTCTGTCAAAGAGTTCTGGTGCCTCACCAAACTGCATATCCCAAGATTCCATAGCACTGAGCCATGGCAGTCAAAGTTAAGTCAAACTGCATTAATTTGGCAGTGTAGGTGCACCTTAGATGCCACACTCATTAAAGACATCAAACTTCAAAACTGGCAAAGTTACAACTGTTTACATGCATGCATGCTACAATGTTCAAAAATGAATACAAGTTATTTTCTACTCAAGGCAGAAAGTTCTTCTTCCCATAAGTATCACACTTCAATATGGTCCCAGTGTGCCAACCACAATTTCACGGCGTGATACTGAGGTTCAAGGTGCCAGGGCTGATAACATGAAGCCTGCAAAGAGATATTTCTGGAGTCTCAGTGATACCGGTGGACATGTCGACCACCCAAATACAGCGGGTTCGGGCGACCACAACATTAACCTGCTTACAAAGTGCTGGGTTTCCTGTCACTCCCTTGTCATATCAGAGCATGACAGAATGAAAGGGGGAAGAGAGGAACTAACCAGGCTGAAGTGTTGCAGCTCAGAGCATTTCCTGTTCTTTAGTGAGGGGCGGGGGGAATAACCCAAAGCAGCAAAGTGAATCCGTCCGAATGAAGATGACAGTTACAGCATGTTAGTACTTGATAACTAAACAGGCATCTTTTCATTTGTGCTTCAGCAACAGCAGAGCTGAACTTCTCAGAGCTCACCCAGACCTGCCACGGAAAAGGCAAGGTAAGAACTTCAATTGTTAGTAGCAACCTTCCATTTTAATTCTCAGTCTACAGGAAGCAAACACAGCCTTAAAAAGGAACCTTTTCTCCAAGCCATTTGCCAGCACCGTTGACAATGTGGTGCTGGAAGATGAACGGGAAATATTTCCACCGCTTAAACTGGGCAGCACAACAGTGCCGAATGATTAATGACATTTGCATTTATCCAAGACACATATATTGGCCCAAGAGAGAAGCAAACCCCCTAATATAATAATAAGGCCTCATCACTTTGCCCAAATGTGCTCATTAAATTGAGCAAATATTTCTCATTTTTCTTGCTCGAGATGAGTTTCAGATATTTCAAGCAGCTGCTTAATACAGAAACTCTGAAAGGCATAGTGTTAGGGCTTAGTAGAAAGCTGGTGGGTTGTCTGTCAAAAAAGTGCTTATGAGTTTATTTATTATTTAAAACATTTATATTTTGCTCCTCACACCCCAAAGGGGACTCAGGGCAGAGCACAACATATATACGGCAAACATTCAATGCTGGAACATAAAATAAATTATAAATATACATAAACATTAAAATCAATTATCTCCACGTTAAAATAAATTGTTTTAAACCATCTCGGATCAGCCATACCGGATCCGATCAGCAGGGTAAAGTTTCCTATTGTTGCCTATTGTTGGTCCCACAGTCAAGTTTTTATCATCTTTCTGAAGGACAGGAGGAAGGAGACCGATCTAACCAGCGAGGAAGTTCCATAGCAGAGGGGCAATCACTGAGAAGGCCCTCTCTCTCATCCCCACCAATAGAGCCTGTGACGGTGGCGAGACCAAGAGCATTGGGTCCTGGAAGATCTTAATCTCTGCAGTGGTTCATAGAGAGTGATGCAGTTGGATAGGTAAACTGAGCTGGGGCCGTTTATGGCTTTATAGGCCAAAGCCAGCACTTTGAATTGTGCTTGGTAGCAATCAGTGGAGCTGATACAACATGGGAGTTTGGGTGCTCCCTGTATGCCATCCCAGTTATTAACCTGGCTGCCTCTTGTTGGACTATTGGAAGCTTCTGAACAGTCTTCAAAGACAACCCCACATATAGTGTGTTGCAGTAGTCTAGTCTAGACGTCACAAGAGCATGGACCATAATAATGTTATGTTATTAGTAAGCAAGTAATTCAGATGCCAAGGACAGTGGGAGAAGAGACTACAACCACCTCTGCATAATCATTACTTAGTATTAAACATTGGCTGTTTTTCTATTATAAAAATATAGTTTTTTCAACATTAAGGAAAAAGCAATAGCCTTTCAGCAACTACTCAAGCAAAACTCTGGAGTGGGTAATATGACTGAGATATATATGACCTACACAGTCAGGGTAGTAATTTTAATTGTTCTGTAGCAACCAAATACATATGATACACAACCTGACTGATTTGTTCAGTTAATAACTACTGACATTTTCATAACACATAGTAATGGGGTCACTTGCCATAACTGGAGGAGGAAAAAGGTGGGTTCCAGTGTGATTAAGCTCCATCTGGCACGTATATTAAAATGCATGGGAGGAAGCAATTGCACAGGGATTCCCTTAAAACACAAAAGCAAATAAATAAAATAATAAAATAAATAAATAAATAGGTACCACAAATATTCAATTACAATACAAAACCAGATATATAGTATAGGTCATCTTAAAGGTTGGTAATTAAAGATGGGACACTGGTAGAGAGTATGTATGGTTATCTCCTCCAACTTTTCTGTAAGATTGGTAGGAAACTTCCAACTCTAACTGCAAGTTGAAATCACCTCTTACTGGGCAATATTTCACTTTGGTCTGTTCTATGAATGGAGTAGAACATAGAAGTAAGCAATGTGCTGATCTCCAAATGTTGTTGGGCTGCAATTCCTGGAAGCTTCTACTCACCATTGCCAATGATGAGAAATATTTGGAATTGCAGTTCAGTTCAACTATTTTGGAGAACCAATCCTTCCACACAACCTGTTTCAGAATCCTCAATTTGTAGAGTGGGATGTACCATTTCAGGCTGTGCAATGGGGTTGTTTTTCTTCTTCTCAATTAACCCCTTTTATGCAAATGTATGAACAAACTACTTTGTCAGTGAGAAAGGCCCAATCCATTGCTTGCAGTTCCAGTTCTGATTTACAGAAAATCAGAGTGTTGTTTTTCCTAAAAGCATAAGAGGACATTCACCTCTAGTGTGAAATGGTACATTCCACCTCAACATCACAGAGTCAACCATTGCTATTTTGCTATAAAGGGTTCTTGCTTGGCCTTGAAAAGTCAGAGGATGCTGGCTGCATTTGGCAGAACTCAGCATCCTGAGCTGTGAGTTTTAATCTAGAGTAAAGAAGGGAAGAAATTATTCTGAACTTGTTGGAATAAGTTTAGAAATCGGTCTAAATTGCAAATTATTTTGCTTAAGAGTCTCTAAGGGCAGCATTGCAGGGATGCTAAATTGAAATGTAGGAACAGGACTCAGTCCATAGTTGGGAGAGGGAGGTTCTGCCAGAATCCTCCAATGGGATTTTTCAATATATTTCTCCACTGCATAGATTCAAACTAGACAAATTGTAGTTAGTTTTTTTTTTTTAAAAAGGATTTTATAGTAAACACATTAAAATGGAAATCCAGATTGGATGCAAAACTGTTCATGTCTGTAGTTATGAACCCATTATAAAATTGGAAAGTATATTTACAAAAGGACAGAAAGCAAAGAAAGGATTAGTAGGAGAAGTATATAAAATGATGATAAAGGATGATGAAGATGTAGTAAGAACACTAGAAAATAAATGGCAGAAGGAATGTATTTATTTATTTATTTACAGCATTTTTATCCCGCCTTTCTCAGCCCGAAGGCGACTTAAGGTGGCATACAGATTGGCAACAATTTAATTCCACAATATACATGCATATATATCAATTAAAAATATTTAATATAACAAAATAAAAATCCATATAAAACAATTAAATCTATAAACATCCATGTCTTTCAGATCAATTCCTTATCCATTTGCATTGTCTAGCCTTTCCATGTTCGTTATTTCATTGTACTGTGTTTGTTCAAGCCAGGTTTTTACTCCTTTCTGAAAAGTCAGGAGGGAGGGTGGCTGATCTAATATCCCTAGATATAGAGTTCCATAGCTGAGGGGCCACCACTGAGAAGGCACTGTCTCTTGTCCCTGCCAAACGCACCTGCGAGGAAGGCAGGATCGAGAGTAGGGCCTCCCCAGACGATCTTAAGTTCCTAGATGGCTCATAAGGAGAGATATGGAGAGGTAAGCTGAGCTACTCACAAAACAAACTACTGAAGAAATAAAGATGGGGGTTAAGAATATTAAATTGGAAAAATATATAAAGAGTTAGAAAGAAAATGTATCTGTAAATTATATAGGATACCAGTCCAACTTGCAAATATGAGAACAAGACTAAGCTCAATGTGTTGGCATTGTAAAGTAGAGAAAGGTTGGTATGCACATATGTGGTGGGATTGTCTAAATGCAAAAGAAAAAAAGGGATAAGATAATTTTAAAAAATGGGAAATGGTTCAAAATAACAATTCAGGTTAACATGGAACTTATGTTAATGGCAATATAGGGAACAAAAATATTGATGCAAAGAACCAATATCTATTTAAAGCAATCATTATAGCAGGAATGGGGGTAATAGCTTGGGGATGATGGAAAAAATGGAGTTTAGAAAACTGGAATAACTATTTATTTGAGCAAGTCCAATCAGACAGTATTATAGGTATAACCCAAGAAGGTTCACAGGAGGACACAATTGTACTGAGATATATTGTTGTTTTATTGTTTTAACTGTTGACCATTTATTACTGTTTTTATATGTTATTATATTTGTGTGGGCACCAAGATGTGCCTTTTTGTAAGCTGCCCTGAGTCCCCCCTCGGGGGTTGAAGGGTGAAATAAATAAATAAAAATAAATTAAGGAGAAGTGGACAATTTATATGAAATGTGTACAAGAAGGTGAAGCCAGCATAGATATTGTACAAAGATTAAGAAGATTGTGTTTGTGGTTAAAGATATAGAGGAAAATGTGGTGGATGGGATGGGGTGGGGAAGGGAGGTGGGAGAAAAACAAAACAAAAAAATGAATGAGAATGAATCTGTAAGGAAGGTGAATAGATGATGTAGAAATACTTTACCATAATAGACATTTATTATCTGTTCAAAGATTATGTTATCTTATTTCCCTGATGAAGAAAGAATCTACACACACACACACACCATTATAAATTACTCTGTAGCCCTCTATGAGAAACATTTGAGTACACGGGTTTCAGTAATAAGGACAAAGAGTATGAATTGATAATTTTTATTTTCACAAATAGCCACCATGCAATGAACTAAGTTGAAGAGTTAGGAAGGTCTGACAGAAGGAATGTAATAGTGATGAATTACCTTGTCAGTAATCTGAATTAGTACCTCTTCACAGCTACTAAAATTTCTGATTCAGATAGACTTACACCTCATTGACTGCATTTTTCTGTACACCAAAGACCATTCTGTTTGGCCATTTAATGCATTGTCATATTTATGTTATTGATTTGCTTTTATTATATCTTGCAATTCTATTGCAGTATATTTCTTTTCACTACTGTTGACCTTCTTGACTGTTGTGTGCACACTAGAAGGGGTGGGATATAAGGTTTTACACAGGTAAATAATTCTTAGTAGGAGGAAAACTCACACTAATGCCAAGATGTCAACAACAGCTTGCGTATTTTCTTATTTGGCAAATGATGACCACTTGGGGGTGTTCAACGGAAAACATGGGTATTTGCTTTACTTTGAATGACTGCATTTCATAACTACCATCAATTGTTTCTTACGTATCCAAACACTTAGATCTATTTGAGTTTTCATGGAGGACATTCCACTAATTAAGTGAAAGGTTTTGCAGTCCTTTTCATTAATTGCATGAGAAATCACTTGTTGCTTTAAGATATGCATCTGATATTTGTTTGCATGTATAAAAAGAACCAAAGGGACATCAGTTACTATTGTCTATACAAAGTTTATAAAATTATACAAAGTTTGTAACTGTTCAAAGTTTGTAAAAGTAATTTTTTACGACTATAATTTTCAGAAACCCCCAGCACCTATCAGTAGCATATTCTCCAAGTACCCCCATTTAGCAGCAACTATCTTGAGTACAGTGGGCCCCTGGTATTACTGGAGTTTGGTTACAACACCCACCATGGATACCAAAAGTGCTTCCTGGATTGCTGTGAGTTTTTCGGGTTGTATGGCCATGTTCCAGAAGCATTCTCTCCTAAGATTTCACACATATCTATGGCAAGCATCCTCGGAGGTTGAGAGGTCTGTTGGAAACTAGGCAAGTGAGGTTTATATATCTGTGGAATGTCCAGGGTGGGAGAAAAAACTCTTGTCTGCTTGAGGCAAGTGTGAATGTTGCAAATGGCTATCATGATTAGCATTTAATGGCCTTACAGCTTCAAAGCCTGGCTGGTTTCTACTTGGGGGCATCCTTTGTTGGGAGGTGTTAGCTGGCCCTGATCATGTCTGGCATTCCCCTGCTTTTTGAGTATTGCTCTTTATTTACTATCCTGATTTCAGAGTTTTTTAATACTGGTAGCCAGGTTTTGTTCATGTTCATGGTTTCCTCCTTTCTGTTGGTATTGGCCACATGCTTGTGGATTTCAATGGCTTCTCTGTGTTGTCTGACATGGTAGTTGTTAGAGTGGTCCAGTATGCCAGGAGCCTTTGCAAATCATTCAAAACTAGTGATGTGTCCACCCAGCAAACCAACCCACTCCAAATTTTGTCTGCCAGTTTCATTTTAACCTTCTTCCCTGAGTGCCTGGCTTGCTCACATGAACCTTCTTACAGGGATTATCCCACTGGCTCAAGGCACAGAGAGTCTCATAGTCAGCAGCCATGGAGAAACAAGAATAATATGTGGGTGAAGGTTCTTGAAAGAACATCCACTTCTCTCCCCTTACAACGTCTGATAGAAAAGCAAAGAGCCTAAATTCTTTTGGCTCCCTGTGGCATGCAAAATTGCAACACATGACTCATCAAAGTTTTAATTAGGAAAAGCAAAGATTAATAAATCATACTTCATATACCACAGAGTAGCGAGGTAATGCTTTGACAAAGGGGCCCATTCTTCTGAGAGAATTATAGTACTACCCACTTAGGTTTTTTGGATTATAGTCAGAAAAACACAGAGAAACAAGTGAGTAGAAGCAAAATTAATCTCTGGCGTTGAGCAGTAGTTTTTCAGGTTCAGTTTTTACACCTTCAGAGTGAATGTAAATGCATTTAAAGATTTATCATTAAGGGATATAGCACAGCAGCAGGAATACAGTAGAATTTGGAGAGTGGGAATGTGAAAAAGAAATCCACTGGAGGAGGTAAGCAGAGATCAAATATAGTGGCGCGACTGCCCATTGTTAAAATGAACTTTGCCTTCAGAAATGTGTGAATCTGTTGCTTCCAGGAATAGCAAAGAATTTTCTTTAACTGCTCATTTGATGATTCCCAAGTAATCTACATAAGCAGAAGATGCAAATGTAAAACAGGAGCTGAGGGAAGATACCCCACTTTGTAAAATAGCCATAGCGATAGTTAGCAGTGGATGTTACAGTAATGGTTCTTGTCTAAAAATGAAGCTAAAATAGACACCACATTGGATACCTTTGTAGTTCAGTGGTATATTTTATTTATTCAGCTGATTGATTGGCTCACTTCTCACTTTTTTTCTCAAGAGTGGGATTCAAGACGGCAGCTAATTTTACTGCATAGGATGTTGCATGTATTTTCCATCATAAGCATGACTATTTAAAACAGGAATTCAAACATTTGATTAGATGAATGATTCTTTTCTAAACTAACATTACACTAGGAATTTTCTTGGAATATATTATTGAAGTCCAAATAGTAGAACAGTACTATAATTGCAGTTGCTAGGATAAGTAGTGGGAGTTGAGTATTTTGTGTTGGGCTTGGAAACTGAAAATATATTTTGAAATGAGGAAGATTATCTTCTGGTAGGAACTCGGAATATTTGTCCACAACAGAATATTTGATATTGTAATACTGAATCTTTGTAGGGTTTTTTTTGTCATGTCAGGAGCGACTTGAGAAACTGCAAAGTGTTTTATTGATCTTGTTATGGTTTTATATTATATGTTAATGTTTTTAAATGTTTTAAATGTTTTATGGTGTTGTTGGGCATTGAATTGTTGCTTCTGTAAACTGCCTTGAGTCGCCTGCAGGCTGAGAAGGGCGGTATACAAATATAGTAAATAAAATAAATAAATAAAATAAAGTCGCTTCTGGTGTGAGAGAATTGGCCGTCTGAAAGGGGACGCTCAGATGTTTTACCATCCTGTGGGAGGCTTCTCTCATGTCCCCGCACAGGAAACTAGGGCTGACAGATGGGAGCTCACCCCCACTCCCCGGATTCGAACCGCCGATCTTTCAGTCAGTAGTTCAGCCAGTACAAGGGTTTTATTCATTGTGTCACCAGGGGCTTTTTGTAGTGACACACTGCGATAAATAAATATATAGTTATGCACAAAATTGTAAAGTGCTGACTTGTTTTCTTTTGATTTCCACAGGAAAATACCTCTCTGGTGTATTTACTAAGTTGTGCACCGTTGGGACTTATGCAGTGAGCATGATGTCTAGAATTTGCCAATCGCGTGTCCAGCGCAGTTCTCATCCTGAGAGTTATGAAGAAAAATATGAGCGCCTGCAGGAGAGGCATGAAATCCAGCTTAAAAGGAAAGGTTGGACTATATCCCATCTTAAGGATAAACACCAAAGGAAAGGGACCGATATGCAACTCCAAAACCCACGAGAAAAAGAATTTTTCAGGAGGAGGAATGTAAGAATTGAAGAGCTTGGAATAACAGAACTTCAGCCACTTCCTGACACCAAAACATCTTTGATTACTGAGGTAAGAACCAAAGATTTCCATGAAAGCTCTACAGCAGTGGTTCTCAACCTGTGGGTCCCCAGATGTTTTGGCCTTCAAATCCCAAAAATCCTAATATCTGGTAAACTGGCTGGGATTTCTGGGAGCTGTAGGCCAAAACACCTGGATTGAGAACCACTGATATTACTCATCTCTTTGTCTACTGACCAGGTAATATAGTAGGAATAGCAGTTAAAGCCCAGTTCAAAGCATGTTAATTTAGAAATCAAAATCTGTGAATTCAATGGCCTCATTTATTGCCACCTTGATGTGGTCTATGTGTTAGCCATGACTTCAGTCTTTATAAACCACTCAAAATCTGTGGAGATATAGTAGAAAGAGACATGTTAAATAAATAATTGAATATCCTGTCACATTGACTTCAGACACGGTTTCTCTTCCCTTAGCAATGGTTCTCAGCTTCTGGTTCCCCAAATATTTTGGCCTTCAACTCCCAGAAATCCTAACAGCAGGTAAACTGGCTGGGATTTATGGGAGTTGTGGGCCAAAACACCTGGGATCTACAGGTTGAGGACCACTGCCTTAGAGGGAAAGCTTCAGGCTTTATCTACATTGCCATATAATGCAGGTTGAACTGTATTATATGGTCAGTGTAGACTCATATAATGCAGACTGAACTGCATTGAACTGGATTATGTGAGTCTAGATTGCCATATAATCTAATTCAGTCTGCATTATAATGGCAGTGTGAGTGGTGCCTTGGTTACAGTTTGCTTTGTTGTCTTTAAAATACCAATATAGTGCTATTTTGCCATAATAAGCATAAGACAGTAAATAAGGCAAGCTACTAAGGAAGGCAGTTTGATACTGGGACAGTTCAGAAAGTTGATTAATCAGTAATCCCAATTTACTTGAATTCAGTAGAAATGAACCATGACTCATTTTCTCAGGTTTAAGGCCAATATCCTGAAGAGAAAAACAGGTCTAGAGAAATAAATTACAATTTTGTTCCAGGAGTCTTGGAGTAATCAGATCATTCTACTTCATCACAAGGCTATTCAGTGCGACCTCCGTGATACTTTTGTAGATAGCAAATTGGACTCCTCATCTGAAAACAAGCCCACTGTGGAAGTTTCTAAAAACTCTAGAGGTAAGCAGAAAAGTTTAAAATCACATTTCCATTTAGCCAATCAGTGACTTGATAGTGCATTTCCTACATTCATGTGCATTACTTGAACATTTTTCCATGGATGCTAAAAGATTTAAGTACAATTGTTCTCTTGCTGAAAACTTTAAAATATTAATACAGTACAGCCCCTAAAGTCATGGAAATAGTACATATGATTTTACCTATCCACATATTCCTAAATTTTTAGATTATTTTTTCACAAATGCATATTAAAATAATAAAATAATATATTTTTAAAAATCTGCATTTGTTTCTACCATCTTTAATTGCTTTCACAAGAAAAAAACTGTGTTATCAAAAATCTTAAATAATATTTAAATCTTCATTGTTGAAGTACTTGAATTGAATTTTATGTTCATACAGGAACACAAACCACTGTGGAATCCAGTGCAATAAAGAAAGATTCAAGCCAACAGACAGAGTAAGCAAGTATTTTACTGTGTATTTTTGGATTTTTTTATGTTTCATGTAGAATACTGAATATTGGAAATTTTAAAGAGACATGACAAATTATTTCCTCCCACTTGTATTAAAAGTTGGGATTTAGTCTGGAGGATGTTTGGGTGTTTTTCATTCTTTAGTATTATAAATTTATTTACGTCATTATTCATTGACTTCATATATACTTCCCTTTTCTCACTCCGCAGGGGACTCAAGGCAGGTTACATGGCACTAGCAAAATTCAGTTCTGAACATAATAATAAAAACATACCCCTATCCAACTGTAAAACAGTTAAAACAAACGAGCAAATCATAATACTGCCAGAGTCAGTTTCTAGAACAGGCATGGGTAGTCTTTTAGGAATTGTGGGAATTGACGTACAAAACACCCGAAGGGCCAACGTTTGCCCATGCCTGTTCTAAAAGCTCTCTATTAGATACTTTGCTTTCACAAGCCACATCGTACATCCAAAAATCATCCTATAGAAATATGGTCTATTGATGTGGGAAAAACTGCACTCCCCTCTTTTTCAAGACTTTTTAAATACAGTCTTTTTATAGACGAGATTGGGTATGTTAAGGGTGTGCAGTCTTTTGAGTGTGCTTTATTAATTAGCCCTCTGCAAATAAAGACGTCCCATTATGGATGCAGCAGGAATACACGGTTGCCTTAGTTCACCTACGTGCTACTTACATATTAGGGACGGATTTTACATTTTGGTGGTACGATCAAAAAGGTAGTAACCTAGTACTAAAATGTAAAAGTAGTAATTTGGCTATCAACAATTCAGGGCCCCCTGGTAGTGCAGCGGGTTAAACTGCTGAGCTGCTGAACTTGCTGACTAAAAGGTTGGCAGTTTGAATGAAACAAGTGGGGTGAGCTCCCATCATTATTCCCAACTTCTGCCAACCTAGTAGTTTGAAAACATGCAAGTGTGAGTAGAGCTAGGTACCAGTGCTCCATGCAGTCATGCTGGCCACATGAACTTGGAGGTGTCTAACGACAATGCCGGCTCTTTGGCTTAGAAATGGAGATGATCATCACTCCCCAGAGTCGGACACAACTAGACTTAATCTCAGGGGAAAGCTTTACCTTTTCCTATCAACAGTTCAGACACAGTGAATCCAGGTAAAACACATGCTGAAAATGAGTGGGTTTCTGTTAACTGAAAACCATTTCATGACCTATACAAATCAGCAGCATGGATGAGTTCAGTGAAACTGATTGCAAACCTTCACTCTTGTACATATGAATATATGTGGTACATGAATATATGTGGTATGAATATACTATTTCTTGGATGCTCCATAGAAGTACAGTTTGTACTTCCATTGGTGGTGCTACTTGGGAGAATTTATTAACAATGAGATTTCTTTCTAGATTTCATCTTTGGTGAATTCTTCAGTAGGTTGCTTTCTGTTTATTTTGCATTGACATGTTAAGTAATTACCTGGACCCCTGTCCCATTATCCCATTGCTTGAAAATAAAGTTCTGTCATTTTTTTTCTTTTTCAGCTGTGAAACCAAAGTTTTTGATAAGGTAAGTAGACCTTGAAATGGTGATGGGAATCCAGTTTCATTTAAGACATTGAAAACAAATAGATGTGTTATGTAGCAGCAGAAAATTGCCCCAAAATATAAATGTACTTTTAATGCTATCATCCCTTCATTCCATAATCACTTGTATATATATGTCTAGCAACAATCTCACACAAGCTGCTCAGTGGAGGTAAGATAAGGTGACTAATATTTGCAGTTTTTAATATGGTATAACCTGTCTTCATTTAAAATGCTTTAAAAATATTCAACCCACTATACCATTCTGAAACCCTGAAAAGAATTGCAATGAATGTAGCATATACAATAAACGTGGTCTAGTATCTCTCTAGCTGGGTTCTATACTTCTATTTCCTAAGCTGATAGTGTGACTTTTCCTTCATGCTGTCTGTGTGGGGTTGCAAAGTTATCACTTAAGTACTGGGAAAAGTCACACTTTCATTGAATCATACAGCATCCTGTTTTTGTTTTTTTTTTTGGTATTTCCAAGGGCTATTTTACTACATTTGGTAAAGCAACCAGTGGACTCCATTTCAACTCATTTTTTTTAGTGTTGAGTGTGGTCAAGTTTTTTGGGGGGCCTTGGGCAAAAAAACAAACAAGCATCACTTCCTAGCAATAAAAAACCTGTAATAATAATGTAAATACAAGGTCCAGACATTATAAAACTTCCCTTCTCTTGCAATACTCCCATGGTCTTCTGCTGCAGCTTCTGTCCATTTTCTTAATTGCAAATAAATTTTAAGGACAAAAATGGATACAGTGACCTTTGATTGGGGTAGGAGGCATGGTTTTGGCAGCACCCAAAACACTGGCTCATTTATTTGCCCAACAACAAAATTCTCAGATAGAATTCTGGCATACTATTAATGATGGTTACATTTCCTTTTCAGATTTGACATTTCCATGTTAAACACAGTTAGAATCATAAATACATGTTGTTGTTTTATTTCAGGAAGTGACTCAGCTTTCTATCTACATTGAAGTGAGTAATTATTAAACTAACTTGTGGTAATTTATGAGGATTCAGACATGACAGAGACTTATTGGTAATAGTCTCTGGCTTTGTAACTTCTTACTGATGGGGAGTCTTTTGTCTCTACATTGTTGTCAGATGCCAGTAAAATTTATTTATTTGTGTAATATTCTTATCATCAACCTTCTGATGATAAACTTACAATTTTAGAAAGTGAAGTGGAAACTACTCTCAGAGCACATCGGACAAATCACCAGGAACAGATGGCATAATATAGATGCTTGAAGCTACAGAGTCAGAATTTAGCCTGGTCCTAACTAAAATCTGTCAATAAATATGGGAAACAAAACAGTGGCTCAATAGAAATTCCAACACCAGGTCTTGCAGTAACTACAGGATGGTTGCTTTAATTTTCAATGCAAGTGAAGCAATGTTCAAATTTATAACAATGACTTTGAGCAATGGCAACCCAGTTGTGGAAGGCCTGCCCGTGCCCGACTTTCCCAGCAGAAACGTTAGGGGATAAAATTGGAGGTTGCTTGTCCACATTGCACTGTCTGATTTCTTTATTTCATTTCTAGGAGGCACTATATCGAGAGCTACTGCTGAAACGGAAAATGGTGAATTTACAGGGGCTTCTATCCAACTTATATCAAGTAGCAGAAAAATCTTGGAAGGTATAAAATAGCCTTAATGAGATTATTAATGTTTTCTACATAATTTATTGATATCTTCTTGGAGAAGCTCAGAAGCACTATTAGTACTTCGTTAGAATCATTTATTGCAAGAAAGAAATAATACTATTCTTTGCCAGAAAGGCATGTATACATTCATAAGTATATGTTTTCGTCTTTAGTTTTGTTACAATGCTTCTGAAGGATACTCAGATTGTGAGTGATATGTTGTTGCCTCCAAAAATATCATAGGTGCTAAGCTATAGGTGTTAGCAGGTGCCATCCATCCATTTTATCTCCCTGCTAGGACTTTATCTGTCTTCTAAGAAGAGTCATGTTTTCATTGATATCATACTAGAAAACATAGAGACCAAATATTCTACTATCCAATCTTATCCCACTGTAGAACAGAATAAGTTCATGATTGGATTGTGCTGTTAAACCCCTTGAACTCCAGAATGTATGGTCTTGTGCTTTCAACTAATTCTTATACTTTCCTTTTCCCAGTCCTGGGATTCAAGACAGCTTACCCATTTTAAAAACAACACAACACAGTTATTAAAAGTCCTTTCTCCTTAACCAGAGAATTCCCAAAATCAAAACAAAGAAATTAAAATCTTCACTCTGCTGCCATTAGGCCGCTCATCTAGCCTCTGGGGAGGATGGGACCAAGCAACAAGAATTCTTTCTTCTTCTGCATCTGGGAGTGTGGTGGCTGCCTTTGAACATATCAAAACCCAATCAGCTTATATAGAAACATGGGATCCTTCATATTGCCCCTCACATTTATTTTTGAATAAAAAGAACAAAAATGGAAGAAGCAGTAGGAAAATATGGGAAGGTTTGGGGGAAAACACAAAAGGGAGACAATGTTATTGTACAATAAAGACCTCATAAAGTTGGAAGAACCAGCAAAGCCGGCCCTGAGTACCCCTTGCCCAATAAAACCCTAAGAAATTCATGTGGTGACCATTTGTCAGCAAGTGACTTGATGGCACACAGATGCACACACACAGGGTGTGGAATCCTCATGGAGACTTGAAATTATAACATTGAAGAAAATGCATTTTGCTGAGAAAAAAATGCAGTTCAATGTAGTTTGCCAAACAATTGAAAAATAAGATCAGCAAGAGATCTTTCAGAACAGAAATGTCTTGTATGACACATTGTGGTTTTTGAGACTTCCTCTGTGTAACACTTCTGTCACACTTCACCAGATCAGGGAAAAATAGGCTGACAGCCTTGCTGACAGGAAGCAGCAGTCAAACCTCAGCTTAGCAACAGGTGGGTGTAGACTTTCTGTTTTTGAGCATTTCTGTTCTGATAGATAATTTCCACCACAATCCATTTTTGGCTTTCCATCAGAACAACAGTTTGCTATTGGGATTTCAAAACAGAATGCAGCTCAGAAACATTGACACTTGAATTTTTGAAATATGAGAAGAAAAATGAATCTGTTGAAAAAGCAAAAACTTGTTCCAAACTCAGGTTTCTTTTTGATACAGGCAGTCCCCGAGTTACAAACATCCAGCTTACATACAACTCCTAACAAATGAAGGGGAGACAACAGGAAATCAGAAGAAACCTACCCTTAGGAAGGGAAATTTACTCCTGGAAGAGTTACCATGGGAGAAAGGTGCCTCCACTGAAGCTTTATCACCAATATTTTTTTTCCACAACAAGCCAAAGTTTTTAAAATCTGATTATCACAGGGACATGAAGTGAGGTGAAATCCTCAAAACAGGGACACAGACAGCAAAGCAAACACCACAGGGGTGTTAACCTTTCCCTATGCTATTCAAAACTAAACACATATTTGGCTTGAGTTACACTTAAAAAAATTACCTCTTCCAACTTATATACAAATTCAACTTAAGAACAGATCTGCAGAACCCAATTTTGTTTGTAACCCAAGGACTTCATGTCCTTTCAGTACAACAGTGCCTAGGGAAAAAAAAACACACAAGAAGTTACCTGCAGCCAGTGTTGAGGCATTGCCTGTTGAAAATCCATCACTATAAAATAGGAAACTATTTTGTTTCTTTTTCAATGAAATGAGAATCAAAATTGCATTTTTACATGTACAGAAGGCAAGATTTGTCCACAGTATCAGGCCTCTGCTTTAATGCAGATCATCAACCTACCTTAAATAAACCGGGCGAGACTTGTATTGTGTAGTTGCCCTGTCTTGTCCGGGTAATGCCATCTTTCATTTGTAACCTCCCTATATTTTCCCATCTTCTCTCCCATCTTTCTTTTTCTTATTGCTTTGGAAGAAAAGACAGGATAGCCGCACAATAGCTTTTGACTGGTAGCACTAGTAACTATTAATCAAAGAGCAAACAATATTTTAACTCAACCGAGTATTGGTTATCTTTTGGAAGAACAGAATAGAATGGTGGTAGGTAGGTTATGTATTTGGAGCAATAAATAAAGATGTAGAGTAAAGGTTTCCCCTGACATTGTCTAGTCATGTCTGACTCTGGGGAGTGGTGCTCATCTCCATTTCTAAGCCGAAGAGTCAGCATTGTCCGTAGATGTTTCCTAGGTCATGTGGCAAGCATGACTGCATGGAGTTCGGTAACGTCCTGCCAGAGCGGTACCTATTGATCTACTTATGTTTGCATTTTTGAACTGCTAGGTTGGCAGAAGCTAGGGCTAACAGCAGGAGCTCACCCCACTCCCTGGATTCAACTGTTGTCCCTTCAGTCAGCAAGTTCAGCAGTTCAGCAGTTTAACCTGCTGTACCACATCTTTATTTATTGCTCCAAATGACCCCTTCAGATACCTAGGGACTATTGAGGCAGTTTGGCCACATTTGTGCCTCTTTTCAGCTGTTTTTAAGGCTAAGAGTCTTATTTTGCAATGGGAAGTCAACTAGATGGTGAACAGTGAAAACATGGTGCACCCGTCCTCCACCCCCAAATGCTATCTAAGGAGTTTGGGGACCATTTTAATCAAATATTCTTTTTTTCTTTTTCTCTTTTCATTTCCTTTTCTTGGTTACAATTCTTACAAAGCAGCTTTCTATGTTTACTCTGAGATTCCACAATGATTGATGTATGTGTGCATAAGATTGCAGTAAGTAATGGTCTGGCTTTTGTTAGAGACGAACAAAGTCACAAAAATAGACACGGGCCATTTGTGGCCTACGGGATTGACTTTGGCTACCTCAACATATGCATACATTTGTATATATTCATTTCTTGACCAATGTTTAGACTGTAATACAAAATGTACAACTTTCTTCTCCTGTCAGGATCACTTAAACGAAGACAAACTCAAGGACAGAGTGGATAATTTGGCAAATCAGCTTCTGATTTGCTCTCAGGTAATATCTTCAGATAAAAAAGAAATGATCTGTTTCTCAAAGTGGAGATAGCTTGGGCGTGTATGTTAGACATGGCCTACTTCTGCATTCTGGCAGGGTCTTCTTATTACAGATAAGGTATATAATAACATGGTATATAATCCCTAGTTCTTTCCAATTGTTTATGACTCCTTAATACTAATGCTGGGTGTTTCCAAATGTTTGATGTGGGTTTCCAAATCTAAAAAGGATGAATGCAGTTAGAACTGTAAATAATATACCCTAATATTTGTGGTCCATGTGCCAGTGAACATAATTATTGCTGAAACATCGCCACATTTGACTGCCTAGAAAGTACACGAGAAAGCAGCATACTAATGTTTTGCTTGAAATCAAAAGGAGTGTCATCACTGCTTTTCATTACAGATAATAAGAGCAGAATATTGTCGAAGGCTTTCATCACCGGAACCACTGGGTTGTTGTAGGTTTTTTGGGCTATATGGCCATGTTCTAGAAGCATTCTCTCCTGACGTTTTGCCTGTATCTATGGCAGGCATCCTCAGAGCTTGTAAGAGCAGAATGTTTGGGTTTTAAAAAAATAATTATGTCTGGATTAAAAATTTTGTGGGCTGTATTACAAGAAAAAAATGGTCCTAAGTCAAAACTAAAACGTTGCTGCTTTGCTCCAGTTTTCATCTTGTGTTAATAGGAATAATTAGGTCAATCTCATGGGCAAAATGAGATTATATATTAAACAATACAATATTATTAAAATATACAAAGAAATGAAAATTATAAATGGCATGAAAATATTACAAAGCATACGATTAAAAACATTTCAAGCCAATTTAAAATTAACAATTAAAAGAGTTGAACATGATCTTACAAACACTTTAAGAACCTTTGGGGGAAAATCTTGGTGTTGGAGGCATCAGGGTAGATGTAGCCTCTAGATCTCTGGACATTGCTCTCTTTGGCATAAATGATGGCTAAATTAGTCTGAATTCAACCCAATACATTAACACTAGGAATCATTCTCTAGTTTTCTGTTGTTTTCTCTAGAGGTACTCAAAGCGGAACTTACAAAGAGTTATTCTGGATCTTGAAGATCAAAAGCAGAACTATCAGCAGAAAACGAAAGAGTCTCTACAGAAGTTGCTTGAAGAGAAACTGAAACTAGAAAGACAACTTGAAAATGTCCAGGTAGGTATGAGAGTTCTGCAGAGTGACTACTGGGCAGAATTTTTCTCCCATTCTCCAAATGACATAGAGGTATCTTGTTACCTATGGAGTAAACCACAAAGGTGAAACTCGAAAGCAGCATGAGCAAAGTATGTTTTCAGAGCAGGATTGATCATTATCTTTTTGAGCAGATCACTGTGTTTCTTTCAACTTGAGGCATCATCTTCCCCTGTTGCTCAGCAGATGGGGGTTTGGGATTTGCTGCTGGTAGTAACATTTCATTTCTAATGCTCACAGATTTCCACTCTGTGAAACCGAGAATGTTCTTTCTCCTTTCTCAGCATTTGTTTTTTATGTCCTACACAGAAATATATCCGTGCTGAAAAACAGGAGCATATATCCAGTGGGGAATAATATTTACAGAAAAAGTGCCACTGTTGTAGAAAGGTGGTTGAGTGGCTAAATTACAAGTCTCTGGTTCAGAGCTCATCTTTGCCATCCTTTCCAAGCCCCAGATCCTTTTCATGAAGGAAAGCAGAGCTCTCCAGAAAACACCATGCAATGTTCAGGCAGTGGAATTAATGAATACATGAATATATTTATTCATTAACTCTTTGAATCAATTTACAGAATTGTAAAGTTCTGAAATAGAATCCTAGGCTGTAGATGACCTATATTAACCTGGCATGCTGCAAAGCCTGCATTTTCTTGATATGTTCCTTTGAAGAATATTTATTTCATCTCTTGAGCACTGAAAATCTTCTAATTGTTCTGGATTATATATTATTACTATTATTATTTCTGCTGCTGCTGTTTAATAATGTTAAAGGTAAAGGTTTTCTCCTGACATTAAATCCAGTCGTGTCTGCCTCTGGGGGTTGGTGCTCATCTCCATTTCTAAGCCAAAGAGCTGGCGTTGTCCATGGACACCTCTGAGGTCATGTGGCCAGCATGACTGCATGGAGCGGCATTACCTTCCTGCAAGAGCAGTTCCTATTAAACTACTCACATTTGCATGTTTTCAAACTGCTAGATTGGCAGAAGCTGGGGTTGACAGCAGAAACTCACGCTGCTCCCTGGATTCAAACCTGTGACCTTTTGGTCAACAAGTTTAGCAGCTCAGCAGTTTAACCCACTGCGTCACCGGGGGCACAGTGGGTTAATAATGTTAATAATGTTGCTCAATATCATTTCCTTATATTTTTTATGAATTATTGATTTCAAATATTCTTAGACAGTCCAGTGATAATTATTACTTAGTTGCTGTGAGCTTTCCGGGGTGTATGGCCATGTTCCAGAAGTATTCTCTCCTGACGTTTCGCCCACATCTATGACAGGCATTCTCAGAGGCTGTGAGATCTGTTGGAACTAGGCAAGTGAGGTTTATCTATCTGTGGAATGTCCAGGGTGGGAGAAAGAACTCTTATCTGCTTGAGGCAAGTGTGAATGTTGCAAATGGCTACCTTGATTAGCATTTAATCGCCTTGCAGCTTCAAAGCCTGGCTGGTTTCTGCCATGTCTGGAATTCCCCTGCTTTTTTTAGTTTTCCTCTTTTCTGTCCTGATTTTAGAAGTTTTTTTTAATAATGGTAGCCAGATTTTGTTCATTTTCATGGTTTCCCCCTTTCTGTTGAAATTGTCCACATGCTAGTAGATTTCAATGGCTTCTCTATGTATTCCAACATGGTGGTTGTTAGAGTGGTCCATCATTTCTGTGATCTCAAAAAATATGCTGTGTTCATGTTGGTTCATCAGGTGCTCTGCTATGGCCGACTTCTTTCTTGATTATTACTTAATCAATAAAAAGGAGACAGGATGCTGTCTGCCCACAGCAAAACAATATTATGCATGCAAACCACACTAGTCTGTTGCCAATGAATGAACAGCTTTTCAGCCCCCAAATTTGGAAAAATTACTGCTTTACTATGCTAGTTGCAATCCAAAACAGCACTCAGTATGGTGTTGAAAGAAATGAGAAACAAATCCAGAAACACATTGGATATATTTTCCAGCTTGATCCTACAGTCTTTCTCTTCTTTTTCTCCACTGGATGGCACCATATAAAAAGCTAATAACTAGGGGACATTAAATATTAGAGAAGACTTCTAGCGAAGGAAGAGTTGTTGGCAAGGGTGTTTGAATTTTTGAGTTTTGCACAGCTCTTTGTCTAGGAGAAACATATGTCACAAAGAAATGGAAATCATGCAGTTAATGTCTCCCCAATGGCTTCAGAGCCTGCTTCATTGTGTTTTTGGCAGTCTGAAAAGAGCAAGTGTCTGCAACTCTTCTTAGTTGCATATTCCTTGCCCAAACAACTCTACAGGCCATAGCCATGAATCTTAGGAATGGTCCAGGAAATTGAGTTGAATAGGTAAATAAAGGCAAGCAGACACAAGAACAAACATGTGTGGTATAGGAAACGGCTTACTCGACTTTCCGCAAAGCATATGTATTAATTATGGCTAACATTCTGGTCAGTATTTGGAGAAGTCTAATGACCATACTGCCTAGGGCAGTGGTTCTCAACCTGTGGGTCCCCAGGTGGTTTTGCCTACATCTCCCAGAAATCCTAACCAGTTTACCAACTGTTAGGATTTCTGAGAGTTGAAGGCCAAAACATCTGGGGACCCACAGGTTGAAAACCACTGGCCTAGGGGCTTCTGGAAATTATCATCCAGAGAGCAATTTGCTTATGCCCTGATTCTAACATGTTTATTCCTGACTCTCATATCACCTACTAGAGAACCTTAGCTATTGTACAGGAAGAGTGTACCCTCTGGAAAGAACAGTGCAGCATATTAAAGCAAGACTGGAGCCACCACCCTGGCAAGCATGCCAAACAAGAAAATAAGCTTTACATCCTGGAAAACAAACTTCAGGTAAATTCCTTATATCTATTGGCAGTATTGTGTTCTAGATTATTTTTTTCATACAAGCAATTATAAGGCTCTTCTAGATTGAAGGTCCCTTGGCACTTTGGTTGTTTGGGCCGGACAGCAGATACCCAACCAGCATTAGCCAATGATAAGGTATTCCGGGAGTTATCTAGAATATTCAGAGCAGCCAGAATTCGTAGCCCAAAATACTCAAAAACAGACTTTAAATTGGGTGCTGTGTCTAACATCAAGATGAGTAAGCTTTAACCATGGAAGAATTTACATGGCCTATAGGATACATATGGTCTACCAGATTCTTGTTGGTTCTCAGCATCTTCCCTCTAATGTTTTGGCCAAAAATCTGGCAAATTGTGTCACAAGGGCCACAACAGACTATTTTAGGGGAACCCACACATGCAAATTTGGGATTCCTAAATAAATCAGACATGACTTTCCTGTCAATTTCTAGGGAAGAAAAAATTCTCAGAATCTGGGGAGAGAATTTTAGGAAAAAAGCACTCACACCTACTGTCTTCCATCCCTGGTCTCCTCTCATGTTAATAATCCTCATCCCAAGCAATATGGTCTAACAATAGGTTAAAATTGTCCACTATTCTGACCCAGAAGCATAGATACTTCAATTGGATATAGCTTTGAAAGTTAATGGTGCTGTAGTAATGAATGGGAGATCACAAGGGATCAGGATAATTTCTTATCATAGCAATCATTATGTGAACTTTCTTCCATTTCAGGATGTGACTCCACATTGACCTAATTGCTTTAGCAACTATAAAAAAACTACTCACATAGCAAACCGCCTGTTTTTAAGCTCTTTGTGATGACACCACTGTGGGTGCATTGTTTGTAAATTCTATTACATTTTTTGTTTTTGGAAGTAGTTCAGAAACAATGATTTTGCCTCCGGTCTAGACATTTATTTATTATTCTATTTACTATTTTTTACCCCACTCTGCCCCACCCCAAAGGGGACTCAGAACAGTTTCCAAATTGGCAATAATAATATGCCATTTAAGCAGAAACATAAAAATACAATATATTCATTAAAATAAGTAAAAATTAAAATCATGGCATATCAGTACATTAAGATCAACTATTAAAACCATACAAGATCCGAAGTCATAATCCAAGTCATAGACATTTGTTTTAAGGTCAGTTTCTGGTTCCAAAATCAGTTTCAGTTTATCAGAACACAATTGCTGACCTTAAACCCCACAGGGTTTTTGTTTTTAAAAAATAAAGGCCAATTTTCCTCTTGCAAAGCATTTTTAAAGTGATTATATACAAATGCTTGATGCAAACCAGAAAACCTATTATCTTCTGGAACAGTGGTTCTCAACTTGTGGGTCCCCAGGTGTTTTGGCCTACTTCTCCAAGAAATCTCAGCCAGTTTGCCAGCTGTTAGGATTTCTGGGAGTTGAAGATCAAAACATCTGGGGACCCACAGGTTGAGAACCACTGTTCTGGAATCATATTAAGTCCGGCTTTCATCTCTGAAAATGTCATTTTGTGGGCTGGTCCTGATGGAGCAAACACACTAGAGAAAAATCCACTTAAAAACCAGTTTCTGCCTCCTGAAGAATTCTGAGGTTTGTAGTTTACAGAGGAGCCTTTAACAGCAGAAACAGGAGGCAGAAACTGGAGTTTAAGTGGATTTTTTCTCTAGTGCGATGAAGCAGTAAGAGGAATAAATACGGTATTACCATACATCCTTCCTTTTTCAAATTCAGATGCTTTTCTACCAATTAAAAGTTTTGTGTTGCTTTGCCTCTTTTCCCACAGTATTCTGGAGTGATTTCTTCCTAGATGAAATGTGAGATTTCTTTTTTAAAACCTGATACATTTCATTGTTGTGTGAATTGTGGTGATCAAAGGGGACATGTCTAATTCCTCCCTCCCTATATTTAGAATGTTTCCACCCTCTTTTCCTTTTCTACATATGCCCAAAGGAGCTGGACATGCCCACTTCATAAGCAAGACAACTACTAATTGAAATGTTCCACTTTTAAACCTTTAAAAAAAAAAAGTTAAGATAGTGTTTGGAGGCAAATCAGCAATAAGTGTGATGAAGCACTGAGAGGCACACTTAAAAGATCAGCACAAATCTTCATTGTGGCAACTGGCATTTTTTTCTCTTTTAAAGCATTGAATCTGCTCTTTTAAAAAATAAAGTGACTAAATGGCTTGTTCTTTTCAAATGTGTGTATGTATATAAGGAGGAGCCACACAGACTCATTATTTATTTTGCTAACCAGCCCTTTGCTCTTGCGGTTGTTGTTTTCTTTACAGCAGTCAGAGACTCACAACTCTCAGTTGCACCAAAACCTGCAGGACTTGGAGAGTAGTGAACACACAAGTCTGCCTGCAAAACCTGATAACGCCAAAGAAGGCAAGAGGCTTGCAGTGGAGAACTTCAGTGCCATGGAAAGTAAGACATTTGTAGAAGCAGAAAGCTGGATCACAACAGCACTAAGAGGAAGTACTGGCCACCTATTTCCAACATGGCTTCAGAATTTCCTCTGTAGAGATTAAGATTGAATCTACACTGAAGAATTAATGCAGTATGGCATCACTTTACCCCCACAGTATGCCATTCTATTGAAACATGGTTGTTTCAATTAATAAGGTCTTTAGCCTTCTCTGCCAAAGGGTGCTGGAGCCACACCAAACTACAGTTCCCAGGTTCCCTTAGCATTGAGCTATAGCAATTAAAAGAGGTGTCAAACTGCATTCAATCTATAATGCAGACGCACCAAAGAGCTGATTTCATATGTTTGTGGGAACACATGACACAGCCATCAATTGTGACTGTACCTCCGCCAAATGAATGATATATATTTTGTTTGAAAGATCCTTCAATTCAAATTACGGGTTTGTGAAAAGATTTTCATTTAACGCAATAGCTTTCCATGTGCAGAGGTGTTTTCAGGCAAGCAGTTCTCTGTGTACCCTCTATTCAATGACCTAGAAGGCATTGTGATACACCTTTTTGTATTTTATTTCAAATCCAAGCAGCTACTGCAGATGAACACAATTGCCTTAAAAGGCTTAAAATTAACTTGTCAGGAAGTTTAGGGCTTATTTTCCCCTTGAGGCTGTTGAGCTGCTGGGAGATACTGAACAGTTACATAATGTATTACTCTATTTCTCCACCTGCGCACTGGTGATAACACAACCCTGACTGACTCAGATGGATTCAGAAAAGGAAAGGATTTGCAAATAGATGCTGTGCATAAACCACCAGGGAGAATTTTCCTTTGACTTCTGTAGGTTAGAGCTTTTAAATCTATCTTTTTAAATCTAGTTCTCACTGCAGATGCTAAATATTATAAGAAAAGCCTTGCATAGTTACATATTATTTCTGAAAAGTTAATCATTAATTTCAGACAGACTGCAAACTCAAGAAAAAGAGGGCCCCTCTCTGAAAGCAACAATTAAATGTTTGCATGGTAAGTATTCAACAGGATGGTAATGATGACCATGCAGGCCGACAAACACAGTTTATTTGTTGTATAATGCTTTAATTTTAACATTCCATTTGGTTCATATGTCTTTAAATATTTAGGGGTATAGAGATTACTACTTTAAAATCATTGTCCTATTTTACTTTCACAAAGAAAGGGACAAGTCACCAACTTTACACCTGAACATGGCAGTTGTTTTCTAATTATGGTTAGCTTTTTGCGCCACTTGAAAAGTGTGATGTCTGAACTCAAGGAATTGTGAGTGTAGGGTATCTTTACTTAACAAGATGTTTGTATCCATGTAGGAAAACGGCACATTATAAATAATCTTTACCATATTGTACATTTCAATGACATTTGTATGGTGCACATGCATTTTGCCTGCAAGAAAAAAACTATATAGGCAGGAATGCAGTGTAGTGTGGAAAAGACAACATATGATACCATGTTAGTCCATGGTTTTTTAACCGCCCTGAGTCAATCTGGAAAGAGAGGGCAGTCTAGAACTAAAATTATTATTATTATTATTATTATTATTAGTAGTAGTAGTATTAGTAGTAGTAGTAGTAGTAGTAGTAGTATGTGCATAGGAACAAATGACCTTACATTAATGAGGGGAAAGAATCTAAACAGCTTCTCTTTAGTCCCACTGGTTACATGATCACCAGAATAATAAATGAATCTATTCACATCCATTAGTCTTAGCCTTCTATTTATGTCCTTGGAGCTATACTTCCAAGCCGGATATGAGAAGGTCTTCTGGCAGAATGATGTAGACTTGCATCTGACCTACTATGAAATGTGCCGAAGTTGCTTTAAAGGAGATCGAAAATGGACCAGCAGGGCATGTTGTTGTTTTCAGCAAACTTGAAGTGTGGGTAACTGCCACAAGGATAGGCTGCTTTCAGCCCAATTTTGAAAATGTTAGTGTGAAATGTGAATTGAGAATCCTTTCCCATAACTGTTTGAATAGGGTATTAGTGATTGAAAATAGTAGTACAGATAGAGACAGAAAATAATAAAGAATGCAAGTATTCTAAGTTACAATCCACTTTGCTTTGTTCCATTTACAGATGTGATGCATAATCAATCCAAGGAAATTACAATTCAGCAAGATGAACTGCAAAAGACAGGTCAATTAAACTGGTAGCAGGATTTCTGGCCAACCGGGATGTTATAATTGATATCATATGGATCACTGAAAATAGTACATGCAAGTGTTTTGAGTTATGATTAACTTTGCTTTGTTCCATTTACAGATGTGTGATGCACAATCAGTCTAAGGAAAATAAAATTTAGCAAGATGAACTACAAAAGACAGGCCAGCTAAACTGGTAGCAGGGCCTCTAGCCAACCAATGTTGTAATTGGTATGCTATGAATCATTATTCACAAGCTGGGTCTGAGCATACACACCAGCTTTAGATGTGCTCTTGTGTAAGACCCGTAATCATGTAATGTGTATCTATATGAGACATTTCCACACACCAGCTTTAATTGTTCTCTTGGTATAAAGCTGTGTTTATTGGAGTATACAATAAATCTTGTTTGCCTGCACTTTGCTGATTTCCACTTTGCTACTACTTTAAAAAAAAAGAGGTTTAAATAAAATAACTCCTACAAGTGAGAACTTAAGAGAACAAGATATAGACTAAGTATAAATCTAACTTACAATTTCAATAGAACAGTCACTTTAAAATGTCATTCAAGTGTGAAACATCAGTGCGCCAATTAATTCAGGATGAGATATCAGCATATACATCTATCAATTCTGGGTCCACTCTCCATGATTCTTAGTACCCAGAATCAGAGCAGGAATGAAAGAAGAACCATGTAAATTTAGTCCATATGTGCCGAAATGAACATCTAGATCCTTATCCCAATATTGTTATATTCACTGTGATAGCATTACAGGAGTTTTAAGGAGGTACCAACTCCAATCAATAAGTGCATTCTTGTTTCAGGGTTCCCAAGGAAGGATATATTGCTGTCCAAGTAAGGCAGCAGTCATGTGACCTAAAATTAGGCATTTAATTGACTGACTTGTTAAAGTCATCCCTTATAGATCGGCAGTAGGGTATTACAGGATCTAGAGCATCCTATCACTGCTTATTTATATCCAGTTGACTTAAAAGTACAGTACATCCCCTGGATCCACTGGGAATATGTTCCAAGATCTCTGATACCTGAAAACACAGAGAAGCCTTATATTTGGGTTATATTTGGGCCTGATACATATCATAAAATCAGACTGAACGAGAAGCCCACAGATACTTCCAGGGGGAAGTGGATTTGTAGCTCAGGTAAGTAAAACCATGGGTATCGAGTCCATGGATAAGGAGCTCATATTGTTTCTTTTAAAGCTTTGCTCACAAGAAGGCAGAATAGGGAGGTATTTTTAGAATTAAGGAATTATTTCAGCATATGCTAAAAACTAGAGTCTGAGTCTGATCAGAACTGTGTTCACAGCTCAATCATTTAAAAATAGTTTCCATATACTGTATCACACGAGGTTTTTTTTCTATGTCTCTCTAACCAAAAGGAGAGAGGAAGACTTGTTAACTTTTTGTTAAACAATTCACATTTCGAAGTTCATAGTCTTCATTGCAAATTATTACATTATTTTGTCAGCATTTGCATGTGCACAGCAACAACCCCCAACCTGAACACAGGATGCAGAAGACATATAGGTTGGGATAACAAAGGCCACAACTTGTTTATTGGTTACAGTTGAAATATGGTTGGCAGACACACATGGGTCCTGGATCGCAATACCGGGCAGCCCGCCTGCTGATCTGATGACAACTGGAAGGAGCCTCCAGATGGCACAACCGAGCCATGATGGCAAGGGCCAATACAAAGTGTAGTGTAGGCTTCTGTTAAACGCCACACCAGGCTAGGTGCCTGGTGAAAAATAGCAATGAATTGGTATATGGATAGCTGGGTTCCATCCTGGTGGACAAACAGCAAGCCTGGTGAAGATCTCCTATTTCGCAGAAAGTGCAAAAGGGTCCCGAGGGGGGGGGGGGACACGACAAGTTTCCCATTTTTAGATCATGCACATAGGCACCCCTCCCCATCATTTAATTCTGATAGTTAGCTCCCCATCCCAGAATGAAACATCCCCCAAACATCCCTGATATGTTTTTTTTCTGTCTGCCACTAACTCCCTGATCCAAAGGGCCCTGAAAAATGCTATAGTAAATGCAGCTGAAAATAACAGCCTCATAGCTGGAGTCACAGGTGATCCTAAGCTGTTTAATGATCCTCTTGAGAACTGCATATGAGACTGGTCTACTGTCCGGCTATTGAGGTGACTGTTTCCCCCAGTTTCTGAACCACTTTTCAGACTCTAAATGCCCCACATGGGTCACTGAAATTGCCTGCCTTGTGAAAGAAGGAGATATCAGAGAGGTGAAAGTTCACGGAATAGACTGACACCCATAAAAGCCAGTTTTAAGAAGACCAGTAATGAAGCATTTTGTCTTCTGTCATTGGTCAATCTCTCCTGTATCCTGCATCCATTCTGAATTTGGTGAATCTGGGCACCACCACCCTGTATGCCTTCATTGTAGCAGATGCCACAGCCTTCATAAGTCCTTGCCATATGTTGTGTCTCCAAGATTCCAGAGCTCCTCTGGGAAGTTGGCTGGGTGTGCTTCTGTCCTGAAAACAAAACCGCAAATCTGCAATGTTGTTGTTCAGGCCTGGAATATAACGTATCAAAACAAATTGCCACACAAGCCTTAACACCATGCTATAGGAATGCTTGTTGATGACCTTAACCACTGCTTGGTTGTTGCACCAGAAGCATACCCGCTTATTTCACATGCTGCTGGTGAATGGGGTCCTGGGGGGGGGGGGGCTGTTATGGTCATGCCATTCCTATATTCCAGAGCTGTAGGAGATGCAGGAGGGGGAGACGGCCTGGAGTTTGCGAGAGAACTCTTGCAGCCCCTGGACTGCCTCCACCCACAAATACTCTTGGTAARCAAGTAGTCAGACCCCCTTGGGTTGAAAGACCTGCTGCTTAATACCAGATCAGTGAATGGAAAAAKAACGGCCATCTAATAGCTAATCTTGGATGAGCATGCTGACCTAGCCTGCATCACGAAGACCTGGTTGGACAAAGGGGAGAGGGGTAAATGTTTCTCAACTTTGCTCACCAGGTTTCTATATGAGGACAGGGATTCCATCCAACTGACCAGGTGTCCTGTCCCACAGTCCACTTTTGAATGTATCTTCAGGGTGAGTGACTAGGACAGAGCAGGGATTCTGTTGGTGTACTGACCACCCCACTGCTTAACAGTCTTTCTCCCTGAGCTAGTCGGAGTGGTCTCGTGCCTGGTATTGGAGTCCCAACGGCTGGTCGTGCTGGGGGACTTCAGCATCGTGGAGACCACTCTGTCAGGAGTGGGTCAAGACTTTATGGCTTCCATGGGAACCATGGGGCTGTCCCAAATGATTTTGGGCCCCACCCATAGTGCTGGCCACATGTTAGATTTAGTCTTCTGTTTGGGATGGGATGACAGTGACGGTATTATGGAGTAACTTTCTATATGTCCTTTGTCATGGACCAATCACTACCTGGTCAGGTTTAGACTCACTGGGGCTCTAAACCTATTGGAGGAATGATAATTCAAACCCTTTGTCACCACCCTAGGTCTACATTCAAACTGCTATAGCATGCTGCCTTTAGTATACAGCTGTATTGACTTAATTGGGAAAAATTATATCAAGAATGATTAGGATGCTTATATCAATTTGAGCAAGTCTCATTAGCCAAATTCATCCCAGCAGGTCCCACTGTGCTACCCAAAGAGACTGTTTCCAGGGATGAAGAAAACCACAATAAAAATAAAAGAGAATCTAATGAATGTAAAGACCTAGTCATGAATACTGAACAGCTTTGAGTAAACAGAATCAACCAGAGCTTGGAATGTTATGTCTGTATATCTAATTATTTATCATTGCACTTCTGGGACCAGAGAAAATATTGTGTTATGTGAAAGACTGATTTTAAGAGTAACGTTCACTTTCCAAGTAGCTTAAATTCTTATTTTTGGTGACTTTTGGTGAAAAGATCTGAATGCTATGTGCCTTTGGCCTTCTGGTACAAAATATACCTTTCTCTCATCCATCTCATTGCTAAGTCAACATCAAGAATTGAGCACTAGGCAGCTGCATAAGGCATAGTGTAAGCTAATAACGATATCATACGACATTCCTTTTCCTCCATTTATTGAACCCATGTTCCTGTAACTATTAATTAAAACAAGTTTTAGTTCGACTGCATGAAACATGATGTTATCCTGCATTATATTAACTTGCAATTATAATGCAGTCAGGATAAATCTCTATTATAGGAAGAATAGTAAAGCCGAAGAGCCGGCATTGTCTGTAAACGCCTCCAAGGTCAAGTGGCCAACATGACTGCATGGAGCACCGTTATTATTAAATAAAATTAACTGGTTCTTTGAGCCCTACTCGTGTAGGTGAAAACCGACTCCTCTTCACCCTGAGGCCAGAACATGTGGCAAAGAAATAATTAAATGTAGAGAAAAAAGTTAGTACTGGCAAACTTTGAGCTCTTCTCATTCTGAAGAATCAAAAGTATGAAACAGATGTTCGGATGGAATGATATCATATTATAGAGAGACAAGATCTCTCCAATATGACACCAAGCTGAGGTTGTGCTTGTTTTGGTTGGGCCATGATGACAAATATAATTCCTTACCTCACTTTAGTGCGTCTTCAGACATGTATGGATTTGTAATGCTGGAGAATGGAGAATTCTTTAAACTCTGGTGGAAGATATACCGTTCTAGTATTTTACCATTTTTGAATGAAATTTAAAAGTCTTCTGAATCAAAAATACAGAAAGAGGAGCCTGTTATCATTGAGGATGAAGATACATGTGAAAGCAAAAATCCCAGCTTTAGCAATCGTTGCCAATTTCAGCACAGAAAGAGCAAGTGTCAGAAATGCTTGAAAATTTACTTGATGAATTATCTGCCAGAGATTTTTTGCATCCCTCAATTTTATATCCCCCTTTCTAACACACACAGGTATTGTCTGTCACATTATGCCAGGCCAGCAGTTTTTTTTTTGTCGTGTCAGGAGTTGCTCCTGTTGTGAGAGAATTAGCCGTCTGCAAGGACGTTGCCCAGGGGACGCCCGGATGATTTGATGTTTTTATCATCCTTGTGGGAGGCTTCTCTCATGTCCCTGCATGAGGAGCTGGAACTTGAAACCATTACATTTTTAACCACTGGAATGCTTCCTGAGAGATTCTGCAAAAACATAACTGCCGCTGCTTTTACGCAGTCATGTAATCTGGATTAGAATGTGAATTGAAAGGATCTGGTTTGCTTTGGAGTGCTCACACTGGTACCACTTGAATTGCATGGAAGCTGGGACAGTGGCCACAAAACCACTGAGAGTGGCTCAATCCCAGATAAGGTTGCTTTGTTTTTCCTACCTCATCCACTAAGAAACACTGATAAAAAACCATTCAGGAAGAAGTACAGAATTTTTTAGAAATTTAACTGCAAATG